CTCACTCCTAAATTTTCATATTTACATACATAGCATCTAGTAAATTCAAACATACTTGCACCAATTTAATCCCTTTTACTGGGTATTTCGCCAAAATCGCTCTGTAAATTCAAATATACTCTCACCAATATCACTTTTAAAAGTTAAAAGTGGTAATTTTGATATGGCATGAAATATTTGGGTGGTATAAATATAAAAATCAAATCTCAGGTGCTCCATATATAATAGGAATTGGGTGTTAATAAGTTTAGGTGTTAGAAATGTAAATATATAAGAATTGGGTGGCATGTATGCATTTACTTATCTCCCAAATACTTCAAGGTTAAAATTGAAGTTTAGGTGTTATATATGTAAATGCATGAGAATTGAGCGGTATGGATTTACATATTTAACACCTAAAAGTTTATTCATTTGACTTTTAGAAAATGATAATTAAGAATTTGAGGGTTATGAGTATAAAATTTAAAATTGAGAGGTCAGATATGTAAATACATATGAATGGAAAGTGGTAATATGTAATTACAAATCACAATCAGGAGCAACATTAATTAAGTCCAACCTTGCTCATGATCAAGTCCACCCCAAACTCAGGCTCGACAATCAACCGAAGAGTGGGCGAGTGCCGATAATTGGTCGACAAGTGGAAGCAAAACCTCTGAAGGATTAGGGCGAGGACAATCTTGAGCTCGATAATGGCGAAATTCTGGCCGAGACACGTGCGAGGGCCGACACCGAAGGGCATGTACATTTGGGGGAGACGGCAGGCGTTGAGGACGCCGTGTTCGAATCTCTCGGGGCGGAATTCGGCAGCATCGGAACCCCAAATGTTGGGATCGAGATGCATTGTGGGGACGGGGATGAATATATTGATGCCTTTTGGTAGGTTTAGGGTTCCCAATTTGAGGTCTTCGAGAGCCTCTCTTGCCACCACGGCTCCGGGGGGATATAGACGGAGAGCTTCTTGGATCACCATGGCTAGCTGATACGAAAAAACAGGGAGAGTAAAATTTAACTTTGATTGTAACGATGTATGTGCTTTATTTTCCTTATTGTGATATTGTGGGTTAACTTTAATATCAGAAATAGTACAAAATATTAAATCCAAAACACTTACCATCGGAACAACGGCGTGAATTGCACCGCACCAATGTGAATAGCGGTGCAATCCACTTAATCGTTTGAACATCTAGATGGGCCGTTAATATTTTATCGATAAGTAGAATGACCACTCGAATTTGTGTTATTATAAGATCATGGAGGGTGAGTAGTGTCATTATGTTATTTTTTCATGCAAATAAGTTGCAGGAATGTAAGCAAAATTGTTCATATAACTTAATTAAACCTCCTCACCATATGCTAAGAAACTTTTGACTT